TCCGGGGCATCTGGTCACCCCCGGCCCACCGCCCGCCCAGGAAGGGCCCAGCGGTGCGGGCCGCCCTTCTGCCTCTGCTCCGACGGCGGCTCCGGGCAGTATCACTGGGCTGCGCCCGCTGGGGCGGTGCGCCCTGCTGCAGCCCCGTCGGGTACTTGTTCTGAGCCCGAGACCTCGGTCCCGGCCCTGCTTTCTCTGTAGATGCCTCCCGAGCTCACACCCTTAATAAGGCCAAGCGTTGCGCTGGGGCATGAGGCCCGTGTTCCCCTGATGCGTGGGATAGGCCTGTCTTGCCTCCAGCTTCTAGCAGGGCTGCGCAAGGCCTGTGAGTTTCCCGTAGCCTTGGTTGTTGCCACTCTGCTCCCTGCTTGCAAAGTCAAGGGGATTCTCAGTGCAGCTGCTGAGCACAGCTCCACATGCCTCACTCACTCTCCTCTTCTTGTAGTGAATGTAAGCATCAAGAGAGGAGCCAGCTTGACAACCCTGGAGACTGACATCTTTGTCTGCTAGAACAGGTATGGTACAGGCAGCAGCAGCAAGCTCTTGTGTCATCCTGGCATCATACCTCCATCCCAGTTTTTTCAAAAAGCTTATCAGAGGGAGAGGATAATTCAGCCCTTGGCCATTCTGCGGAGACTACAGATACAGTAACCTGTTGCACTGTAGTTGTTGCAGTGTGGTCTTGTAACTGTGCACTGAGAGCTAGACTGACAAAAACATTGCAGACCAAAAACAGGGCCTCTGTGACTGGGGGTACCTTCAGAGCAGTGTGGGGAACATAGAGAAAGAAAGCACAATTTAATCATTAAGGTGAGTCAGCTTTGCCTTAGACATTCTAACAAACCGGCTCTTATGCCATCATTTGACCGTTACAGCTATGCACTTCTTGGCAGATAGGACACTTGAAACCCAGGCACCTAAAGCTGCTTTGTTAATGGGAGAATTGCAGAAATGGAGGATTTAGTGGCAAAAACGGGGGATGATGGAACCTTTCGTTATTCAAGGTGTATTCCGCCAAAGCCTAAAGTTCTCCTGCTGTACTATGCTTTCACTGGGATGCCTTAAGGTGGGGGTGTCTAACTCACCTTGTATCACAGGCTGGATCCAGACTGCAAGGCTCTTTGTGGGCTGGATCCAGCCTGGGGCACGTGTGTGGCAGCAGGTCTGACTGACCCAGGGTATATGACAGTGGCAGCAGCTTTTGCAAGGGGCACATAGTGCCGCTTCAGTTCCCCATGCATGCCCCATGCCACGGTTGCCGTTCTAGTTTTGGCATGGGGCACAAGGCAGCAGTGGCTCCTGCATGGGGTGGTGACACGGTGCACCCAGAGGAGCTGGGGCAGGGGCAGTGATCATGGATGAAGTAGCTAAAAGGGTGACCCAGGCTGTATCAGCTCTCACTCACCCTGATTGCTGGGGGCACTGGGGGTCCAATTGCCCTGGATTTTGCAGCAGGCCACTCCCCCAGCCATGTCCCCCAACTTCCAGTGGATTGCCAGTAGTCTTAGGGGCCAGATATCCATTCAGTGGAGCCACTTTGCAGCCTGTGGGCCACATGTTTGACACCCCTGCCTTAAAGTAAAGGTTAGAGAAACAGGGTGCCATTAATACAGTCAGTGAAATTTTAGGCAAATTTCTTTCCTAAAACTTCTGGGCAAGCCATAGCTGGATTGCAGCAGTCTTCTGGGAGGGAGAAGGGTGAGCAAAAGAATCCTGTATTTGTGGTGCTGGCACTGTATAAGAATCTCCTTTTGGAAGAGATTTAAGTCCCCTTTACTTCTCTCATACTGTGTCTGATATGCTTAACCATTATTAATTCAGAAGTGGGAGGTGGGCTCAGTTATCCATGTGGTGCTGGGCTGCACTCCTGCAAAGCCAGTATTCTGCCTTGTCTAGTCTTGAGACTTACTTCTTAAAATACCAAGGCCCAAATGTGGAATGCAGTTCATAACAAGGATAAAATGAGTACGAAGGCTATTGAATTCCTTTGTGTATCCTCAGTCTTACAGTTGTCTGTTTCTGAAGTGAAACAGTAACTTACAGGCATGTTTTAGGGCACATCTACAGGTTGCGCTACATTGCCATAGCAACCACATGGGTCTACACGTGACTGGCAGCTACTTTGCCGTAGTGGCACACGTCCCTGTTTTAGTGTGCCACTATGGCAGAGTAGCGGCTAAAACTAACCATGCGTCACGTGCACAGTGCAATATGGGCAGTTTACTGTGCCATGCTTTACTACTTCCAGAAGGAAGTAGTAAAGCATGGAGCAGTAACAACATCACTGTAGGGCAACGTGTAGACGTGCCCTTAGGGACATCGATTATATTCCTCCTTTAGCTGTAATGATTTTCCCTATAGAGACAAGTAGATGTTCAGTCAATTATACACTTCTGTAACTCAGCTCAGTACCTAGATGCTTCATTCTGGCATGGAGAAATTAATTGCTCAACCAACTGGACTCTATTCAAGTAGATATCCCTTCCATTTTTTAAATCTGTAGGTTTCCTTGGTCTTGCTCCTTGTGCTGCTGCAATGAGTGGGAAGTCCTTGCTTTTAAAGGTCATTCTCCTGGGGGATGGTGGCGTTGGAAAAAGTTCCCTCATGAACCGCTACGTCACTAACAAGTTTGACTCTCAGGCTTTCCACACTATCGGTGTAGAGTTTCTAAACCGTGACCTGGAGGTGGATGGACGTTTTGTGACCCTCCAGATCTGGGATACTGCAGGACAGGAGAGGTTCAAGAGCCTGCGAACCCCTTTTTACAGAGGGGCAGACTGCTGCCTGCTGACCTTTAGTGTTGATGACCGCCAGAGCTTCGAGAACCTAGGCAACTGGCAGAAGGAATTTGTCTACTATGCAGATGTGAAGGACCCTGATCACTTCCCATTTGTGGTCCTGGGCAACAAGATTGACAAACTTGATAGACAGGTGACCACTGAAGAGGCCCAAGCCTGGTGCATGGAAAATGGGAACTACCCTTACCTGGAAACCAGTGCCAAGGATGATACCAATGTGGCAGTGGCCTTTGAAGAAGCTGTGCGACAAGTACTGGCAGTGGAAGAGCAGCTGGAGCACTGCATGTTGGGGCACGCAGTAGACCTGCACAGCAGCTCTAAATCAGGATCTTCGTGTTGTTAATAGTGTCAGTCACTTAGATAACACACCCTAGAACTGATCCTTAAATGGAACAAGTGCAAATGGCTCTCAGGCATACCAGGGAATGCAGAGAGAAGAGTGGGTTGGGTTACTGACTAGAAACAGCAGTCTTTGTGTTGAACCATGTGGAGTGCTAGGTGTAAAGGAAAGGTATATTATGAGTGACCCAAGTGCATCTGGATGGTAGCGCTGCTTCCTCCCCCTATTCTTTCCAGCTGATCTCAAGAACTGGGTTAACCTAACAGGCTTATGGATTAAGATTGGTGCTAAGAAATGTCCATAAAATGTTGTGTGCAGAGCTCTAGACATTCCTTAAAGTATTTCATTAGTGAACTGAAAAATACTCAGCCCACTAAACTCATACCTTACTACCAAAGGGAAGTTTATTCAGTATCCTGCAGAACATCAAAACCAAACTGAAAGATTTTAGCCTTGGAAAACCATGAGAATATCCATACAGTAACAATAGATGTGTATAAGCCCGTTTCTTAGGACTATCGCATTGTGTCCTGATCTGTCCTAATCTTCTGAAGCCTTTTGGAAGAACTTGTGTGCAATGCTGAGCCTGGGTCCTCCTGGAAGGTAGCATGTCTCAAAATATTTGGAGAGATACAGGGGTGAGAAGGGTGTTTGAATGTTGCTGCCTACCTTGGTCAGTTTTTATTTGCCAGCTCTAACTTTGCTGCATATGGATGTTACTTCCACAGAGTGACTGGCTTCTTGGTTACAGTTGTGCTGTTGGCTTTTCCTGAGGCGTAGCACTAGATGCTGCTGCTCACATCTTGGATAACTCCCGACTGGACATCATCTTCATTCATGGACACTGTCTTAGCCATATTAGTTTGATGGACAATAGACCCTCAGTGTGAACATGGGTCTTGGTGCCATGTAATTACCAATATATATCATGGCTGTAGAAAAATTGGTGATAGATGAACAGAGCAACTTTCTGATGTGCAGCACGTTGATGAACAGACTCATGGATATCCATTAAAAACACCTTTTTGCAGGTGTGCTGGTGAAGCGGTCCTGGGCACAGGCCTAGAATCCTCCATGCTTTGTGAGCCCAAAGGCCACTTGATCTGAGATCCCTTGAGTTGGATGCTGCAGTTTAGAATAACTTCTCCATTATTAAATTGCTTTCTCAAGAATCTTGGAACAGAAGGGATAGTGAGTGGGAGGTAACCACTGGTGATGAGCCTCTAGTGAATTGTCTACAAGACTTTTAATGGTAGGGCTCTTAAGCTAATAGGCTCTGTGTTAACATGGTACCTTGCTCAAGACCATTGGGGAGGTTAGAGAAATTTCCATGTGGCTGAACATTTAAAAGAAAGAAATAGAAACACCATTAGAAATGAATCATAGGCCTGCTAACCCAGGGCACTGGCCTACTTATGGTGGCCAGTCTTAAGGTATCTGTTGGGAGCCAGTGGGTCCATGTTTGCTGGCTGCTCTGATTTTTTTTTCCCTTTGTAACCTTGTAATATGTAACTTCATGCTCTCCTGCATTTGTCCATGATCGTGTAATGATGACTGCCTGTGAGCATATCAGTGTCTGCCTGTGAGAGCACTCTCCTGTGCATATCTCAGGTCGTTGCTGAGTGCAAACCATGAACCCAGTTACTCCCATGTTTGTGTTTGGCCATAGATGCAGTAAGTGTAAGTCACGTGGCTCACATGTAGCTAACTTTCTGTTCTTGCTGAGAGGTTTCCACCTTAGCATTGGCCAGTGGGAGCTAGTGGCAATCATCTAAAGGCTCCTGCACTGTGGGAAAAATGTCTTTTGCTGAAACTCAGGGTATGCCTGCCCCCTCTCAGAAGGGCAATAGTGCATATAAGTGACCGCAACTGTAGGTGCAAAGGTCTTATATAGGAGGCCTGACTTCAAAGAGGTGCTAAATACCCATCGCTCCCATCCAGGTGAATGGGCTTGTGATGGGAAGTGCATGCCTCTGGGAAATCAGACCTAGGGTGTTCACAGGATGCCCTTGCCTCTCTCTAGTTATACTTTGCATCCTCTTTTTTTTTGTGTGTGTGTGTAGACATCAAAAGGCCAGCTAAACTTACTGAGAGGCTAGTCTTTCTTATAACTGTACTTGGTAATTCCATTGAAGAGCCTCTTAACCTGACCCTGTGTCCAGTGGTCCTTGTTAAAGGCTCAAAATATACAAATATTTGTGTTAATCCAGTTTTTAAGATTGTTAAGTGTGGATGGTGCAAACAGTGTTAGGTTGTTGTTTATAAACTGTGCTGTTGGAGCCTATCTCATCCAGGTAGGGCAGTTGTTAAGTGGAAGCCCTATCCTTTAGGTGAATGGTTTTCAACCTGTGGTCCACAGACCCCTGGGGGTCTGCAGGCTATGTCTAAGGAGTCTTTGAAAGATGACTCCAATCAATCAAAAGTATGTGACTACCCTTACTTACAATTCAAAGGGGTCCGCACCTCTCTTCAAAATTTCCAAAGGGGTCTGCCAATGGAAAAAGGTTGAAAACCACTGCTTTAGACTACATTACTTCTCTAGCCTACTTATCGCATGATCTATGTGAGCTTTGATGCTGCCTGCAAAAAAGGACAGTACTGTGAACCAGCTGTGATGTATGAGGGAGGACACACAACAGAGTATCTCCCAGTACCTTGGGTGCATATTGATGCTAATGGCTGAATCCTGAAAGCCTTTAGCATACATAAACTGTGCATATAGGCTTACTAGCTATTTGTATATCCTGTAATGTGTTCTCTGGTATCCTCTTTATTTTTAACAAGCATTAGATTGATTCTTTTTTCTTTTTTTAAACAAAACATATTTTAGGCATGTATTTTTAAACTCCATTTTTTAAAAATAGGGCAGTATTTTTATGTATTGAATTTGTTTAATTTATTTCAAACCAGTGCGTGCACAGTTTCTGGAGCAGCCTGACTCCTCAGCTCTTCATTGCAAAGTTCAGTTGCCAGCTGGCATCCTTTCCCTGTGACCCCTAAGCTGCTGCAATTGCCACTACTGCTAACAAACTGGAATTGTGCAACCGATATTTTTCATTTTATTTAAGCAAATAAAACCTGGCTGTGTCAAATCAAATATGTAATGTTTCTGCTTTCTTTTGTTGCTTTAAATAAGGAGTTTGAGATGGAACCTCAGCTAGAAACTGACAGTTGTCTTGTGGCAGGTAGATGGAGCAATGTCAGTTTATATCACCTGAAGACCTGACCTAATACCTTGAACACATGGCAAGGAACTGGAGCCAAGGTAGCAGGGTCATTTGGCTGCATAAAACAACAGGTTTTTAACACTTTGGGCAGTTTCTAAATGTTTATAATATGAATAGATAGTTCAAGTTCCAAATGCTTGTCCAAGCTCCAAAGCCTGTCACCAGCTATCCACTTCGTAGTACTGTATTTCAGAAAATATTTTCGAAGTGGAAATACTCTATATCCCAACCCATGGTTGCTTACTGTCTAATTTTCTCTCTTGCTCACAAACAGTTCTTTTTCCTACTCATCTCAGCGTCAGTCTCCTGGTCTCTTATTTTTACTCAGCCTGCTCTCTCATTAGAAAATTATTTTTTCAGAAAATGCTGGTAGTACCGTGTCCATCACATTTCTTCACACAGGCTGTTTGTGTCTTTGTACTGCCTGCAAATAGCCATCTTAGCATTTACCAGTCAAATACTCAGCTTTCTTTTTTCCTGTGGGCCACCATCTATTTTGACATGTTTTGCCTCTTAACTAGAATTTTATGCATTTGTGGAGCCTGTCATCTATATTTTCATTGGCATTCCCATTTTTTCTGCCTGTGGCTACCTGACATTTTTGGGTTTTTGGCCTGTTTGCTTTCCTGTGGTTTTCTAGCCATGTTTCCTAAAGGAGTGGCATTGGGTTTAAAGTCTTGGAAGTGCTTTTCACTGCAGCATTGGGAATTTGGGGGAGGAGGGTGTGACAGTCTCCAGTATATTATTTTAACTGTCTAAAATCAATTAAAAATACAAATCTAGACATTTTGCAACAAGAGAAATTCCTGTTCCAGCTGATAGGAAGGGTGAGCTCTAATGTAATATAGAGCCAGATCTGAAGCCAGAGACTCCCTTGGTTTCAGACTGAGTCTATAAGAATACATACTCTGGCTGGGAGTTCTGTTCTTTAGCAACTGATTCTGGTTTAAATTACTCATACTTAAATCCAACATCAAGCCCTTAATCTTCAGTGCCCAGAGGAGCATGTTTTATGTGGGTAATGTTGTACAATAGCACATACCTTCTATCCTTGCTAGCTCTGTCAGATGCAGAATGGAGCTTGTTCCCTTGGAGAATGTTCCCTTTTTCAGATTGCAGCTGGCAGTCAGAGCTTATGATTAGTCCATGGGGTTTAGGCTTGATGGGATATGTTCTTACTCCATTTCTGTCCTATGCACCTGTATTGCTCTTGAGTACAATTTGGCCTTAAATGTTTAAGGTATCTGACTTCTGAAGCTGCCAGATTCTGCTTCAGACAAACATTAGTTGGCATTTCAGAGTTTCAAAGATTTGGCAGCAAAATAGAGCCAAATGCTTTGGCTGTAAAGCCAAACTGCAGCTTGGTAACAAACATTTCTAAATCATTTCTAGAACTACTGGCAAAATAATCACCATGTCTGAGGACTCCTGGAACTCTGTCATGGCTTTTAGTTGGCCAAGTCTGCCAACTACACATGCAAACTTTTTGTCTGCTCCTTTCCAAGTCCTGCTTTGCAAAGGCAGGTGGCTTCAGCAATAACAATGGGGTTGCCCCACCCCAAAAAATGCAACTTTATTTCAATGGTTGAGCATGTGCTAAGCAATCAATGGGCTTATTGCAATGCAGATTTCATGACCTAGTAAAATGTATACCTAGTAATTGTCAGAAGGAATGCTGCTAGCAGGAGAAAATTTGCTAACAGTTTACACTGTTGGCATCTTTCTGTGGTTTCTGAAATATTCCTTCTAGTACATGGAAGGGCAGTTATTTGGGCTGGAGGGCCACTTAAGAAGTTTGGGGGGAGGAGGGGCCAGTTGACCCTATCGGGCCCTGGCCCATCTGCCCTGTGCTGGGGGTGGCAGGCAGGGTCTCCATGGAGATTGGCCCAGGACCCTGGCGGGCAGGGTGTGCTAAGCTGGGCAGATGGGATGAGGCCATGGATAGGTGGGCAAAGCTGGGGCCAGGATCGTGAGGGTGGTGACAGCACGGTGCTGGGATCGCAGGCAGGGCTGTTTGGGAAGCAGATTGTGGCTCTGCCCTGGGTCCCAGCCCCACACTATCACCACCCCATGATCCTGGCCCTGACCGTGGCCATTCTCCATGGAGACCCCACCTGCTCTGTCTGGCTCCCCTGGCGCTGGGTCCAGGGCATTCAGGTCTGGGATGGGCAGGCCCAGGGTGCACTTGAAATGAAGTAAGAGCAGGATGGGGCACCCACCTGCTTCCAGATGGGGCCTGCCAGGAAGCTGAGTCAGCCAGCTGTGCTGCCCCAACCCCACTACAGCCCCTGGTGTGCCCGAGAGCCACAGGCAAGATTGGGGTGGGCTGTGCCAAACAGCACTTCTGTACTCGGAGGTGGCGGGTCCAGAAGCACACCATAGCCCATCACTCCTGGGCTGGGTGGAGCCAAAGGACCCACCATGGGCCATACAGAATCTCTTAGCAGGCCAAATACAGCCTGTAGGCTGTATTTTGCACACCCCTATTCTAGTAGCTGCATGCATCTACTTTGTTTTTTATTTTAAATTCCATCACAACTTTAGGGTTCAGCAGCTTTATCCATACTACCCTAGACCTACAGTTTATATAGCACTTACTGCTCTCATAGGACAGGTTGGATTCAGCAGCAGATCTGTTTAGTGTCAGAGCAAGGGCTGCTTCCATCTCTAGCAGTTGCTGCTTTTCTGGCTGCAAGTTGCTCAGTCTTTCTATGCCACAGTTTACCCATCTGTGGAATTAGGGAAATGGCACTTTACCCACTTTAGAAAAGGCAGTAAGATTTTTTGCCCTCCACCTGCAGCTTTAAATCATAATTCCAAAGTTCCTCTAGAGGGAAGACGGGCAGGACTTGGAAGTAACCCATGCTGGTCAGCCTGCTGCCAGCTTTCTCTTACCTTTTTGTGCCCTCTTGAAAATGGGGGAATGCTGTATGCCACGTTTGTTTGAATATTTGTTATTTCCTGCTAGTAAGTCTAGAGATGCTGGATCTGAGAAGCATTTTTCCCAAGCA